TATATATATATATATATATATATATATATATATATATATATATATATGACAAGAGAAATATTTGATGTGTATTATTCACATTAATCACATATCAAAACAACGGCACTAATTTGTCAAAATAACAGCGATCAAAATGTCGAAAACACCGTTCAGTTTATGTTCATAAAATAAATGGATGGCTGGATAAATTGTCCTTAGTTGGACAACCGAGAAGGCAGTCATAATTGAGGTTGGAGCAGCAGGAGCAACAACGCGCAGGAATAAATTCAGCGGAGAAGTGTTCGACTGAGAAACGTGATGTGGAATTTAATCAAGTGTTTACAAATGTAGGTAAATGTAGATGTTTAACAACCTGTTGAAATATGCTGTACCAAAATGCAGGAAATAGCAGGGGGACCTACAAGTTCCACTTCCCCTGCTACCCCCCATCCCCACACACCATTTGCATTCTGGCATCAATCAGTTTACAAATCTCCTCCTACATGTCTCTGTGTGAGTGCAGCTACAGCGTGTGCTCTCAGGACATTATTACCTGCAGTGTCCCCTCAGTGAGAACTGAACTTGGCGAAAGGACCTTCTCCTACTCCGCTCCTGTTTCCTAGAATACCTTGCAAAAAGATTTGAAGCCCTCGACCTTGACCTCTCTAAGTGGCTTAAAACATCTGTTGAGTTCCTGGCAAGAACCAATACAGACATGCTCCTGTTTTTAGTTTTCTACACTGCTTTATAATCTAGTTGTTTTTTTGCTACTTTTTCCTTTTGACTGTCCTTTTGGTTGCCATTTTATTATAATTTGTAAAAAAAAAAAAATTATTCTTATGCCTCTTTTATGACTGTCGTTGTTGTTATCCACTGTTGTCATCACTCTTTGTTAAAGAAATCAGGTCTCTCGTGTAAATTAGTCCTCGAGGCTCAATGGGATTAACCTGAATAAGTAAAGGTTGAATGGAAAAAAAAGCCCTGGTTATAAGTATCTACAACTAATATTATATGCTAGAGAAATAGGTTTACAAATGCTTATTGTGCTCACAAGGTAGTAACTTAGTCTGAAATGTTTAATATAACAACTCTAGATGAAATATATAGGTGTCAGATTTGTCTCACTATTTGTCAAGAAACTAGTCAGTTTTGTCTCTCTGTCACCCTTAATTAATGCATAATAAGCAGTTATTGAGGATTTATAAAGTGTTTATAGAGGAATTAATAATGTATCTATAAACTATTAGCCATCTATAAGGGGAGCCCGGGGAGCCTTATTGTAAAGTGGTACCCATGTCACACAAGAGTTGAGTCTTTTGCTGAAATCCCTACTTTTCGTGCAAGAACACTCCTCATTTCATTGTTGACCCCATTCCAGGGTTGACCCCGGGCTTGTAGTAGGCCTGATTCAGTGGACAGTGTCCTGTGTATTTGAGGACGGCTCCCACTACCATTGTAAGCATCTTTATCAGCAGAGTGGCCCAGCGAACCTTCAGCAGGGGAGTACTGCTGCCTTATATTGCCACATGGAGTATAGGAAATCGGTGGCTGGAGATGAGACTGGCTGCGGTGAATCCGCGGCTTGTCCACACCAACTCTTAGCTCGCAGTGCCGAGAGATGGGCGTGCTGCTGCTTCCATGCTCATTTTGATAGAGGGTGTTGACCCAGTCGCTCTGATAGCATTTAGCAGTTTGAGAGGCTTTGATCAGGGAGTGTATCACGGTCACCAGCAGAATCAGTATTCCAGATGAGAGAATGCCAGCACAGGCAATACCTGTCTCCGTCTCCAATATCAGGAGCATAAAGATGGACATTGCTGTCAAGACAAAGGAGAAAAAAGTTAGAAAAGTAGATTTTAGCTACTCTTTGCAAACACTATCAATTTGTACTGGGGGAAAAAAGTTATTAAATAAACACATTCAATGCCGCTTTTCTTATTTATGTTGTTCTGTTTGCAGGAAAAGAACCGCGGACTCAGGCATGCTGAAGGAAACGGGAGCTAATCACAGCTATGGGATGTGAGGCAACTTCCTGCATTGGTGGCGTTGTTTCTGCTGCGTTGTCCTCATCTTTTTTTTTTTTTTTTTTTGACTGTGACTGTGACTGAACTGGGGTCAAAGGAGTTACTCCTCCCATCTCAGTGAAATGACTGACTCCAGTTACCCCCAAACCCCACCCCACAGCGCAAGCTAGTCAGTGGAACAGGACGCAGCAGCATTGCCAGGTTCAGCATTAAAAACACTCAAGTCATGGCGGTTCAAAGAACTCATTGTTCTCTTGGACCGCCTGGCTGGATTAAAAGGGAACGCAGCAGTTCTGTTTTGCCTCTGCTGTTGTAAATCCACTGCTACAAAAAAGGTTTTGGACTCTAGTTTTTACAAGTTTGTTGTTGCAGGTGTATGCCTAAGAAGTTGTCCTCATGTTAAGTTCAGTATTATATGTTTTAGCAATATCTGACTTTTAAAACGTAAGAAATGTTTCCCTTTTTCTTGTTTTGGGTCATTTTCTCTTACCTGCCAAGTAGACGGAGACCCCAAGGCAGAATAGACCAATGGCCACATGTCGGACACCTCTGCTCTCCAAAAGGAAACAATCAGCTCTGTTGAAAGAAATATAGTGTCTGTGTTTACACTCCTGTAATGCTACTTCATTCATAATTGGTGCTTTAGTTAGCATCTTTGTTCTGTGTTAATCTCATAAACATCTCAAACATTAGATTCTTTAATTTGTTTAATTGGTTTACATTTTATGACACTAAATATTATTATTTCCTTGTTTTATGGAGTGTCCCCTCTGTTGATAGGGAGGTCCTGCCATTGTATTTTTATACGGACATGGGAACAGGCCAGCTAGAGGCCGTGTGCTGAGTGAATAATAAGAGGAAAGCCATTGTTTAGATAGAATTTGTAAGGCAGTGGGGGGCGGGGGGGTTGACCAACAACACTGCAGTGAGTTTGAGGCTCTGCTCTCTGACAGAGCCTCTTTTTATGCTTCCGAAACGGTTTTCTTTTCATCAAAAGCTAACAGTTAAGTTTAGTATCTAGCACAAGGTTGTGGTTTGTTGCATTAACATCTAAAGAAGTTTGTGTGGGCACGAGGAGAAGCACACGTAAACACCTTAAATATTATTTTCAGCCATGGCAATGTGTTAGCGTAGAAAAGGGGAACCCATGTCGGATGTGCTGCCATTTCCTTCCTTTTGTACAAACCTATGTGTTTTATGGCAATAATCAGATTTCAAATTCATTGTAAACCACAGATCTCTTGAAAATAAATTAATATTTAATGGTAAATAAACTTTTGGCCCACATTAATTACTATATACTAAAAACTGCCTGAAAGATAAGGATAAAGTTTGTGCTGATACCTGCTTCTCACTGTTGGCAACACAAAAAAGAAACAAAAAATCTGTAAGATTTGCTTTTTTTACCCTTTGTAGTGACTCAAAAATTGTTAACATAAAAAATGTTGAATGGTAGTTGGTTATCAAAGAATGAATGCTAAAATACTGGCAACACCAGCTTTTTGTTGAATACAAATATCTAGGCTACAATATATTTGCCCTAGAAGATTGTAGCTTAACCAAACAAGCAAGCATTAAAAAATGGTACTTTAAACCAGAGTCCCCATTTTTATTTACAACCCTGACAATAGAAGTGGCAGAGGCCTGTGCCTCCAACTATTCATTCATTCAACCTTTATTTAGACAGGTTCCACTGAGCCTCCGGGACTCATGTACAAGAGACCTGTCACTGACCGAAGAGGGCAAATATTCCAACTATACACTAATTAAACAAGGGAAGAATAAAAACAAAGTTTGCAACAATTATGGAAAAATGTATAGCAAAGAAATTAATTTTTATTTGTGTTCATTTGTCTGTACCGTAAATATCTTTAGAATCACTTCATGGATTTTGATGAAACTCGAATGATTTCGGTGTCAACCCAGATCAAGATGGCCTCCACAGCCAATTAGAAACTACAAAAAAATATTACCCAGCCTGTTTTGTAGTTATTCAGCCTAATTTTTTTGTGATAGTACCTGAGCATTGTCCGCAACACATACTTGGAGTGCATCATCTTTCCCTAAAAAGAGCGGTTCCCAACCCTGGTCCCTGAGGAACACCGTCCTACACGTTTCAGTTGTTTCCTGCTCCATCACAACTGATTCAGTGACTTAATTACATCCTAAAGTTCTGCCAAAGCCAGCTAATCACCCATTCATTCAAATCAGGTGTGTCAAAGCAGGGAAATGAAGTAAAACATGCAGGACGGTGTTCCACAAGGACCAGGGTTAGGAACCACTGCACTGTTGGGGTCAACCCTGTTTGTCTGTTAGTAAAATATCTCATAAACCACTGGATAAATGTCAGCAAAACTCTCAAAGTAAATTATTGTTGTACATGTACAAGTGGTTAACTTTTTTTTTTTAACAGATTCAAGATGGCCGCCGCACCTGATCAACTTTAGTCAACACAAAAATGGCTTTAATGAATTTTACAGACGGCAAGCTAAAATTTGTTGTGGTAACAGCGGCATACTAACTTTGGGAACACTTTTTTTTTTTTATATATTTGACACCTTTTATGGTGGTCCTTCAGAAACTAGTGGCTTTTACTTAACATGTAATTAATTAATTAAGTTAATTAAATATTCTGACAGAAGTCTCCAGCCGCTGCAGAGGTTTGCATGCAGGTCAAATACCTCTCGGTGTCCTGCTCTCCTCGGCAGACTTCGGTGGAAATGTAGCCGTGGAGGAGACACACGAGCACGGAGCTCAGGTGCAGGGTGAAGGACAGAGCAGCGAGCACCGTGCACACCGGCAGCACAACGGCTCGGACGTGAGCGGGAAAGAGCGAGGAGGAGGCGGGAGACCCCTTCACCGTCGCCTGCTGAGACTGCAGCTGAAAAATTAAAATCACCGACAAACCCGTCATGATGGCCGATAAGATCCCCAGCAGAAATAGAACAACCAAAGATCTCTGGCTGTAGTGTAGCGTCATGCTTATTCTAATAATTCTCCTGTGGTCAGGTTGAAAAAAAATGAAAAGAATTCAAGTTTCCCCAAAGTCTTTGAACGCAACCTCGATGTGATCCGACAGTAAACTCCGTCTTTCCATAAATTCTGACGTTTGTAAGAAGTTGTAGCTCTCCGGTCGAGGGGAAAAGGTTTTTCTCTTTAAATTTCCACGTGAATTTTGTGGAAGGACGACCCGCAGTCCTGTGTGAACATGTGATGGGTTTTAAATCCCCCCCCCCCAGAATTAAAAGTTCGCCACAACAATGGACTTTTTCTCTGGGAGTTGAAAACAATGGCAGCACGTGTTCAGGCAGAGCACAAACATAGTGAGAGTAATTTACATAAATTTCATTGAAGGTATAAATGCGCCCATATATTTACCTATAAAATAATACATAAAACAATAATAATAATTAAAGAGCCAATTTGACATTTGATAAAAAGTTCAGTTGAAGCTTTGTTTAATTGCAATTTGCACTAAAATTGCACTGCACAAGTGAAAATCTTGTGTTTTCACCTTTGCATACCTGTTAAATTAACATGTTTTCTATGTGATCTTGGAATGTTTTTAACAAGTTTGTGATCCCATGTGAAAAACATGGTAAATCCATCCTGCAAAGTTTTTTTTTTTTTTTTTCCTAATTTGTAATAAATGTCTCCAGTCATGCTATTGGTGATTTATAAACAGTTTTAATCTGGTTTTATATTGAGTATGGCACGTTTTGGGTTTATGCTCTTGACCACATGGATTTTGAATATTGAAAAAGTAACTGTAAAAATAAATAAACTAACATCGTTTCACATTTTGTAAAATATGCACAGGATACCTGCAACATGTGCCAGTGCTGTTAAATGCTTTATATACTAAATGCACTTTTGTTTCTGAGAAAAGAAGAATTAAAAAATAATAATATGCCTTTGAGCAAATTAACTATTTCTAGTGGAAATTTTTAAACTCGTTCAAACAAGTACAAACTATATCGCAAGATTTTTATGCAACTTAAATAAACAAGTAGTTTGTCTTCAATGTAACCTACTTAAAATGAAGGGAGCTGAGATTAAAGGAGTACTGCAACTACTTTTAACAAGTCATCCCTTGAAATAAAGCAATAATTATGAAAAGAGCTCACATTAAAACAGTAAAATAAGTTCATTACAAATACCAGATAAAAAGATTAAAAAAATAAAATAAAAGTTTGAAAATGCCTTGAAACCTTTCTGAGACTGATAATTGGTTTAAGTTACTGCAAACATTTGAAGAATTTACAGCAGATCCTTTGTTCATTGTGAAATTTTAATTTTAAGAACCTGTAATTCAGACTCTTCAAACCTCATTGCTGGCTTTAAAACATGCGGATTACCGAAGATGCACCACAAAATAAATAAGTTATGTTGCTTTTATAATTTGAAATTAGTCATTTGTATCAAAACAGTATTTTAATCTAGCTACAACCTTAATACTTGTTAAATAAAAACGTCATGTGCACGCATAGTCCACAAGCACCTAGACACGCTTAAAGTCTTGACTTTTCTTACAAAGGCCTGGTTGTTCTGTTGCAAGTTGGGGGTTGGTGCGGAGGTAAAGGTGTAACCCTCATTCTGTGGAGATGTAGATAAGAAGGTAGCTATAAACACACACAATGTGAACAATTGCTCTCACACATGTACACTGACCATGGAGGCTATTTCTGAATCCGACAGCTTCACCGCATGCTCTGAAAGAGTCGTAGCTGATCTTGTTGAAAGCAGAAGTGAGAAGTTTCAGGAAAATTAAAAAAAGAAATATGAAGTTCTCAAAGGCGCTTTTATCTCAGCTCAGGTTCTTGTATTTTTACTTTGGATTCATCACTAATTCCACTTTATGTGCAGTTTTGATTCCAGTCTCTGTATTTGTATCTCTTGGTGTATAGGAGAAATGCACTTGTTGTAAAGGTCTCATAAAATGTCCCCTCATCTTCATGTGATTGGTAGCTGCAATTACATTTGACTACTTGCTTTATTCTTCCTTAGCTTGACACATCCTCCAGTCTGCAGGGATGTTGCTAACTATTGCATCAGATGTACCTCATGGGGTTTCAACATATGTCTGTCTGTCTCTCCCAACATGCTGATATGTTTGTCTTGCCGTGTGTGAGGGAATAAAATAGAGTTGTTATCCACCGTTACAGATTATCTGTGCTAACAATATGCCAGCTTGTTATTTTAGGAGCTTTGTGCATTATTTTGACTCTCAGAACAGCTAATAATGATTCTCATGCAGTGATTATATTACCTCAAAATATATCTTAGAGCAAACGACATGTCTGCTCTTTATTTGTCTGTTTGATTTTGATCATCCTATTTTCACACCACTTACTATTTGTACGCTGCTTTTGTCAGTGATGCTTAGGTAAGCTAACATGTTTTTGCAGCATATATTCACGAGCAGTGCAACATCCTGATGAAGGATTCCTCCTCCTGCCTTGGCAGAATTAGTTGAGTTTCTTTAAATTAGTTGGTTTCTGGACATGGTTTTAAAGCACAGTTCACACGTTTCCATCAGGGATAAGATCAGGGTTTTTGGAAGGTATTTCCAGAAGCCTAGTGTTAGCTCTCCAACAGTTCTAATGAGTTGTTTGAGGTATCGTCCTACCGTAACACCCAACTGTGTCCAAGTTTAACTGACTAGCTGTTGATTTAAGGAGAAACTGAACAATTTTTGAAGTAGTGTCTTTTTTTCATTACTTTGTGCAATGTACGCCAGTATGATGCTTCTACCACCACCATGCTTGACAGTTACTACACTGTTCATTAGGTATGAAAAGTTCACCTAAACACCTTCAAACATCCATCCATTATCTTTACCCTCTTCTTCCTCTCCAGATCACGGGGTTCACCGGTGTCCATAGCAGTCACTGTGCAAGAGGCAGGGGACATCCTGGACAAGTCTCCAGTCCATCGCAGGGACACATAGAAACAAATGAGACAAACAATCATTCACTCTCTCACTCACACCTAAGGACAATTTAGAGTTACCAATCAGCCTAACATGCATGTTTTGGAGGAAATTGGAATATCTGGAGAAAACCCATATATGCACAGAGAGAACATGCAAACTCCACCCAGAAGGATTCCCAGCTGGGATTTGATCTGGTGACCTTCTAGCTGGAAAGCAACAGCTCTACCAACTGAGCCACGATGCCGCCACCTTCAAACATACTTTTTGCAATTGTAGCCAGATCTGTCAGTCTTTGTTCTGTCTGACCATATTTCTTTTTTCTCCACGAGGCCGATGACTTGTCCATATGGACAACTGCAAAGTTCAGTTGAGTTTAAAGGTTGTAAAGTGAAGCAGGGGCTGCTCTTTTGGTTGGCACCTTCTCAGTCTATTGGTGATGTAAAACACAATTTTTTCAGTCAACCTTTATTTAGCCAGGTAAATCCCATTGAGCCTTGAGGACTCATTTACAAGAGAGACCTGATTTCAACAAAGAATGATGACAACAATGGACGACAGCGACAACAATAAACAGTTATAAAAAAGTCATACAATTTTTTTTTTTTTTATACAATACATTGTAGACGGTGACACTGTTTCAGCAGCTCATGGCAGTTCATGTAAAAAAAAAGACTATACAGTAATTTCTTATAACTATACTTAAATTAAATTGCTTGTAGATAAAAGTACATGATTTTGTTCTTCAAGAGATTTTGGTACCAATTGGTGAGTCACAACCCAAGTCTTCAATGAATGCTTTTTTAATACCCAATCCTAACACCCTCCATAATACTATATATGATTATGCCATTTAACGCTGTAACCCTAGCACATGTTGTTCTATGTGTCTTAAAACTATTATTTGAAGTTGTTATATATTCATGTGGTTTAACGCAGGTCATGTTGTGAGATGAGATCAAGTATTTTGGCTCTAGCTTGAGTCCAATATTGTATTCTTTATGCAAACAGAGGTGGACACGGTGGGGCTCACATAAGGTACTGGTGATCATAAGCATTTGACTATTCTGTAGAAAATGAGTGGTACCATTTTAATGAAACCTGTCATAAAGACTTCAGATGATCGGAAGAAACAAAACAACAACAAACTAGCATCTCTTGAAGGAACACATGTGCCAGACTTTTAAATTAAGGTATGTGTGAGTTTTACCTTCAGAGTATGTGTTTGGGATTATTCTCAGCAACTACCACAGCCAGTTTTAACTGTGTAACTGCCAAATTGACTGAATTCTAACTTTTTGTGTGTTCACCATTTTGAACCAGGTCAACTCCAAAAGCTAAAGAGATTAGATAGATAGATAGATAGATAGATAGATAGATAGATAGATAGATAGATAGATAGATAGATAGATAGATAGATAGATAGATAGA